AAACTGCTACTTGGACTCCTGTATCCCTACTTCATGGTTTTTCACTTATCACGATGGGGTGTGGTCCCTAACACCCGTGATAAATGAGGGAACACTGTACATTATTCTTGTTTAGCGTATATCTTAGATCCTTGTATACCGTTTCGTTTTTTAATACTTTATATTCTTTCTATTTTGGAGTGTAACTGGGACCTTGAGTACACAATTTTGTTCCAACTCATGTACCACATGTGATGCGGATGACAGTAAAGAACCTTGATAGTTGTTCTAGTGTCATGTAGTTGGAAAAAGCTATACTTTTTCTGATGATTACCATTCACTGTCATGCATAAAATCATTTAAAAATGTCTTTAGTACAAGACAATAGATTAAAAATAAGGAGGTTAAACCTGTTGAGGGATTCCTCAGCCTTAAAAAAGCAGGATCACTGTTTTGCTTCTGTGTGTTTAAGACTGAGTCTGTGGACAGAAAAACAATGTCACATTAGGAGTAGGGACACATCATCATCATTAAAATTAGCACAATCACATGACAGCGTTTGTTACATAAAACCTCTAAGAAGTTTACACATATTTTTTCTTCTCCACATGTTCTAACTCGTATTGTTAACATTTTGGAATAGTTTACAGGTTTGACTTCTAAACTCGGAACTACTTATGCAAATTAACTATTGGTGTAAAGACCTATGTGCATGCTGACAAATACATTATCTATATGTAACACTTTATGTCTATGAACAAATAGTTTATCTGAATAACAATCTGACGGATAGCATTTGACTTTTTCCTGTCTAGTTATCTCAAATCATTTAGCTTGAAAAATAATAGCTGCACCACTATTTGAATCAAGAAATGGATGCGCTACTAAGATTAATAATTGTTTGTTAGCATCGTTAGCGATGTTTACAACCCGAAGCTAACCTACCTGCACAAACCACAACCCAGCTGTCATTCTGTGTGTTTGGCGTTCGTTTCTTTTTAGTTGCCATGCTGTTTAGTTCAACTTAAACTGATGACTTTACTGAAGCTAAAACATTCGTAGGTCACTTTAGGCTACACGGTGAAGCTACTTTTCGCCTGACAACATGAGCTCAGAAAACGCGCCTTCGGTGTTTCCACTTCATCTTCCGTTACGTAAAAGAAAACACATCAAGGGACAGAAAAGTCTTTTATGTACATTAAATTACTGAAAACTCCCTATTTTACAATAAATAAACGATTTTTAATTTGGTGTGTCCTGAAAAGACAAAACAAAATGCTATTTTTGAGTTTTATTTTAACCTAATTCACACCTACTTTTTAAATAATGGTACGTTCCAAGATGACGTCAGAGCACCGTGTAAGTTCTCCATGTTGCCACTAGAGAGCGCCCAAGAGCTTCAGTGAGAGCTGTGTAGGCCTCTTGCACAGATTTATTATCACCTACTTACACGGGTTGTACTTTACAGATTTAGGTTTAAAGTCTCTGCTCTGAGGTGCAGGATGTTTGGTGTCTGGTTGTCCTTTGGCTCACTGACACACAACAGATTGAGAGATCCATCTGTGCTTCAGTAAGAAGACAGCATCTTTCACTTTCTCTCTCAGGATGTGACACTGTGCATCCCTGTTGGTTTTCAGTGACTCATTTGTTTTTTTGTCATTTTTCCCCTCCTTTCCTCCTGCATTGTTTACATGCATGCTCGAATGAGGGTGTGTAGGAAGCTTGTGTGTGTGTTTTCAACCTTTTTCGTTGACTATAATCATGTGAGCAGTTGTTTAGGGGGCATTTTTTTTATTTTACAGCTGTTCTTTTTTTTTTCTGTTACTCACAGACCATTAACAGATTTTTATTAAGCGTATTTGAGTAATGATAAAAAGAGAGATTTGTGATCTGTGACTCTACGGGGATTGTGATGCAGAGGAAAATTTGGGTCTGCGTATGAGTCTAAGACTTCTTGTTTTCGGGCTACGCTTTTGTGTTTTTACCACATTTTGTCCATATAAAAATGAGTTTTATTTCCGAGTCGATTGCCAAAATTTAAGCAACACATGTTCTAAACTCTTTGAACGCTGCATCAGCTCCTCCTTGAAATCAGTGTGATTTATGTTGCTGTGGCAAAACAAAAAAAAAAAAAAGCATGGGTGAGATCTTGTCTGTGAATTACTTGTTTTATGGGTCTTGAGGGAATCGTACACGACAGCTTGTGCAGCTAAATAGAATATTCCATGAAAGCCTTTCTTTCATTTTGGGCTGCTTGAGGGAACGTCTGTGTTTCTGACGGCCAGGCAGAACAACAGCGGCCTTTTTTAAAACACTGGACCACAGACGAGCCCCAGAGAGCCGAGTTGCTCTGTCATCTGCATGCAAGAACAAAGTGGATCTAAATATAAGTCTATGATTTGGACCCCCAGTCTAAAGCCTCTCTTTTGTCTCTAAAACTTTATTTTACAAAACTTGTATTTTTATTAACTTTTCCCTCATTCTAAAATAGGGAGTCAGACTAATAAGGGCTGAGGTGAACAAATGTGAGCAGCACATTAATATAAACATAAACAGCTGATGATGAGCTGTTGAAAACTCAGTTTACTACTTGCCTGCATGTCAATGACTCATTTAAAGATGGGAGTTAAAAAGTTGCTTTGAATCAAAAACAGCAGAGACGAGAGAAATGTTTTGTATTAGTAACGTTAAAAAAAACATCTGTTTGTGTCTGAAACCAGTCAGCTGACATATGAAGATTAAAATGATTAACACGTTGAAACATGATAGTAAAATTAGTAAGTCACTCAAGTGCTGATAAACTCAAATGTTTCAAAATCTCTACAGAAATTGGCATTAGAGAAAATAAAACACCAAGACCCAAATATTGTGATAAAATGAAATCAGCTCACACTTACAGTGGTGCTTGTTTAACGCTTCATAATTTTCTATATTCCTGCATAAATATGACCTAAAACATCATCAGATTTGCATACAAGTTATAGCCCAATTAAACAAATGAGACAAAAATATTATACTTGGTCATTTATTTTTTTGATGAAAATGATCCAATATTACATGTTTGTGGTAAAAGTATGTGAACCTCTAGGATTAGCAGTTCATTTGAAGGTGAAATTAGAGTCATGTGTTTTCAATCAATGGATGATGATCAGGTGTGAATGGGCACCCTGTTTGATTTAAAGAACAGGATCTATCAAAGTCGGCTCTTCACAACATGTTTGTGGAAGTGGATCATGGCAGGAACAAAGGAGATTTCTGAGGAGCTCAGAAAAAAAAAAAAGTTGTTGATGCTCATCAGGATGGAAAATGTTGCAAAACATCTGTAGAGAGTTTGGACTCCACCAATCCAGTCCCACAGATTGTGTACAAATGCAGGAAATTCGAGAGTATTGTTAACCTCCCCAGGAGTGGTGGACCAACAAAGATCACTCCAAGAACAAGGTGTGTATCAAGGTGTGTAATAGTGAGTGAGGCCACAAAGAACCACAGGGTAACTTCTAACAGCTGAAGTTCTCTTTCATATCGACTGATGTTGATGTTCATGAGTCCACCATCAGGAGAACTGAACAACAATGGTGTCATGGCAGGGTTGAAGGAGGAAGCCACTGCTCTCCAACAAGAACATCGCTGCTCGTCTGCAGTTTGCTAAAGATCACGTGAACAAGCCAGAAGACTGTTGGAAGAATGTTTTGTGGACGGATGAGACCAAAGTAGAACTTATTGGTTTAAATGAAAAGAGTTATGTTTGGTGAAAGGAAAACTCTATATTCCTGCAGAAGAACCTTATCCCATCTGTGAAACATAGTGGTGGTAGTATCATGGTTTGGGTCTGTTCTGCTGCATCTGGGCCAGGATGGCTTGCCATCATTGATGGAACAATGAATTCTGAATTATATCAGAGAATTCTAGAGGAAAATGTCAGAACATCTGCTCATGAAGTGAATCTCAAGAGAAGGTGGGTCATGCAGCGAGACAATGACCCTAAACACACAAGATGTTCTACCAAAGAATGGTTCAAGAAGAATAAAGTTCATGTTCTGGAATGGCCAAGTCAAAGACCTGACCTTAATCCAGTCCAGATGTTGTGGAAGGATCTCAAGCAGCAGTTAATGTGAGGAAACCACCAACATCCAGAGTTGAAGCTGTTCTGTAGAGGAATGAACTAATGTTCCTCCAAGCCGGTGATCAGGACTGATCAACAGTTACTGGAAACGTTTAGTTGCAGTTATTGCTGCACAGGGGTGGGGTGGGGGTGGGGGTGGGGGGGGGGGGGGGGGGGGGGGTCACACCATATACTGAAATCAAAGGTTCAC